TTTTTTTCCCTTTTCTAATTTTTCCTTTCTTATTTTCCTTTAAATCCTGACAACACAGAATGTGTATATCAGGATCCAGGATTCTCTTGGGAAAGTCACCCCAAACACCTTCCAGCATATCTCACAGGGCTGTTTTGAGCACCAACGGACACAGATGTTGTGAGCATCTATTGTAGGTGTGAAGTGCTGGACAAATGCAAAATCCATTCTGTTCAGTAAACTGCAGGTTCCCTGAAGATCACGGCTGAACTTTTCACTCTTATGCTTCCCTAAAGATTTTCTACAAGGTATTACCATGTAATAGGTTTTGGCTAAATAGTGATGTGTTATTGAACAGGTAGTACATTAAAGCAAGAGAATCTGCTTGGATATAAATAAGTGTATTTTTGTTTGGTTTTCATTTGTTACCTCGCTGGAAAAGGGATCCAGGGCCTCACTGGCTCTATCACTAAGCTGCACCCACACCCCCAAAAGCATGTTTTAACTGACAGGATGACAAGACACATAAGAATGGCATTTTCTGGAAGGTCGCAGCACCTCCCCAGAGAACTTCAGAAAACAAGGAACAACCGTTTGTTCTGGACTTAGATAACCATCTGTCTGCATGCAGGACTGGGCTAGGTCACTCCTTTGACAGTGAGGCACCCTCATGGAGACAGATTATGAGAAGGAGAGGCTCAGGGCACAGAAGTCTGACAAGGTCTCCCATTGGTGACAAGGTCTTTAGACAGAGTCTCAAGAGAAGACTTTGAGCCACACTAGACCACCTCCCCTCCTATCTCCCAGGTCTTCTTTCATCTTGATTCCTCAATATTTTTCACCATAGCTAATGATGGTCAAGCCAATGTTACTTTTTGTAAATTGTTGTCAAGTCTTTTTATTGAGAAAATATGATCTGGTAGAGATGATATTCCTCAATACCTTCTCAGAGTGGATTCTGAGCAAAAGAAGACAGGAGATGAAGGAAATGGGTGAACTTGAAGGATTAGAGATCCTTACCATCCCCAATTCATCTTTAGAGCTGGGTCCTCTGAGTGGACGTGCAGGGCCTGGACCAGAGGCCTCCACACAGGGGGACTCTCCTGAGGTCAGAGCAAGTTCTCCCAAGGCAGACGGATAAGCACGTTTGCACACCTGCCCTGGGACCAGCTTTTCTGTTGCATCTGGCAGTCACTGGGAACTGAGGGTGGGGACATCCCAAAGTGCAAATCAGCAGCCTCCTCCATGAGCTTCCTGTTCACATCTGCCATCTGTTTCACTCTGGGCTCCTAAGGTCGCAGTAGTTCCCAGATCCTGAACCGTGGCCAAGGGAAGCCTCTAGATTCAGAGACAAGGAACCCACACACGGGTGTCTTTCTCCTCATACTCTGGAGCTTCAGAAACCATACCACAGGCTCCAGTTAAAGGCTGTTTGTGGGCACAGAGCACTGACTGACCGGGCATGCACTACTCAGATTCCACAGAAAGGCCCATCTTAATCTACACGTAGGCAGGAAACTCTGAAAGGGAATGGGACAGTGAGCAGCCCAGCGACGGGGCCTTGGTTTCTGTGTACTAATTCCAGTGTGTGGTTGAGACTCAGAGCCTGTTCACTGATAAGTACTTAAATATCAGACACTCCCAGGTGGCTCTGCAAGGAAAGGCACAATTAGCTGTCCTTCACCCCTGTAGATTTAAGATCAGCCCTGGGATGTTTGGGGTTTTAAAGCTCCAAGGGTGATTCTAATGGGAAACCAGGTCTGGAGCCCTTTGGTAGGGAGTTTCAGCCAGGGAGGTGGAAGTTCTGCCTCTCTGCATGCAACTGGGTAACTCTCATCTTTGCTCTCAACTGTTCTGTGTCACAAATGCAAAGAATTATTCGGACAGTCTTGCATTTCCCTTTACTCTCTCCAAGTGGGGACTGTCTCATCACCCCCTCCCTCCCCAGACCCATTAGAAATAAACCTACTCCCAGGAAATAAACCCTCCACTCCCCAGGCCACACTCTGCCTTCACAACCAGCTGCTGTGAATTCACGGCTTTTCCTTGGAGGAAAGTCTTTGGAAGTGTAGTGATGGCACAATTCTCTTTCCTAATAGCAGGAGTTCAACTGGTCAGGGACATGTCCCCTATCCACAGTCACCCCAGGAACTCCTTTCTGGACACCTGCACACCCTCCCCTCTGTGCCTTGGGTGCTGGTCAACACCCTGCCCCTTGTACAAAGCTCACTCTCTCCTTCCCCAAAGCACCTTGAGTCCAGCATTCACCCCCAAAATCTCTCCCTCGTGAATGCCCGTGGCATTTCTTACATGTCCTAGTAATTTAGCTCTTACATAGAACATGGCCATGAGCAAAGTTTTTCTCAGCTTAACCATATTGTCAACCTCAGAAGATAAATTTGGTCTACTTTTTATTCCTGTAACTCCCTCTCTCCCGTCTCTCAGAGAAGTTTCTCAGTAGCTGCTGATTGCTTCACAGGTACTTCCCATCCCTCTACCATTTGCACCAGGAAGAGGAAATGCAGGGTTATCAATTGGCAAATATTTCTGAATGATGTGCATTTCAATTCTGAAAGCTAGCTGTTTCTTCATTTAGCTAAACTATGATGCTGTATTTATAAACCATTCTGTGACTTCTATGAAGGAAGTCTGTTTTAGACATAAGCACTTAAATATTATCTATCTTCCATTTAAACCCTAGAGATAAGCACGTATATGCTAGAGATATACCCTGGGTAAAAATGTTGATTTACTAGAGAAAAGCACTCTGTCTCATTGCTACTTGTACTTACCAAGTGTCATAGCTCTGGCTGTAACATACTGGGTGGGCTTGCACATCTTGCAAAGAGCTAAGCAGAGCTAAGTCAGACGTGGATTCAGATCCATCCTCTTCCATGAATTAGTTGTGTATTTGTGCAAGTTACTTAAGCCATGTGCTCCAGTTTCCTCGTCTCTATAAAGAGAATAACAGTACCTCCTTAAAGGGTTATTCTAAAGATTAAGTTAATTACTACAAGCATTAAAATAGGAAGTGGAAGGAAAAGTTCTCGAGCACTTGCTGCCCCTGTGATTCTTACTAGAGAAGCAGCACAGGGAATCAAAAGATTCTGTCCTTCCTCTACCAGTTATTTGCTCAACCGACATCTTCATCTATTCACAAATAACATTAAAATAGTAACAATACCTGAAGTACCTCTCTCATAGTCTGCAGTAAAGTTAAAATGAGCTAGCTGATTTGAAAATACTTTGTAAACTATAAAAACCTGTACCCCTGTGGGGTTACAAAGGCCATTTCTGCTTGCCCGAGTCTGTCTGATGGTGCATGCTTTGTATGATAGTTACTTAATTTTATCTGCCTCCTCCATTAGATTGAGACAGGATCATATCTCATTCTTTTTTAATTAACAACAATGTCTAGCTTTATGCTTTATTCTTATCTGTAGTATATGCTCATTAAAATGAGAAACTGAAAGAATGGCAGTCTTCCTGGGGCATGTTTTTCTGGAAACTGGAAGGGAATGGGACAGTGAGCAGCCCAGTGACGGGGCTTGGTTTCTGTGTACTAATTCCAGTGTGTGGTTGGTTGCCTCTCGTTGGACTGTATGTGCTAAGACCACCACCCCACGGCCACAACCCTGTGTCAGATGCCTAGTTCCACAGGACATTCCTGGGAGCATCCTCTGCAAGAAGGCACCAGTCATAGAGCTAGACACCCCGTGTGAACACTCTGCTGAGGGTGCTTCCAGCACTCTGCCCGCCTCTGCTCAGCCAGCAGCCCTGCTAATCCCCATGAGCCTCTGATTTCATCTCCTGCCTATTGGGGAGACCAAGATTACCAGTTCAGTTGCCCTAAATCTCCCAATTAGGGAAACTGAGAAATTGGACCTTGGTATTTTCGGTGACCTCAAAGCCTTGTTTTCCTTTGCCCACTTTGAAATCTTTCCAAATGGCAACTTTGGGTTTTGTGTCCCCGATCCCAGCTCGAATATCTTTCCTGAGGTGGGAGTCTCAGCGGATGTCACTTGCCTGATGGCGTCACATATCTCTATATCGATCAAGACACCCACCTGATGCTGCACACACAGAAAGCACCGGGTACATACATGGCAATTGGAGTTAAAAGGACTGAGGAAACCAAAATGAGTAGACTGGGTGAGAGATGACCAGCCGAGGAGGCGGGATACTACAAGACTGGAGCTGGATTTTTTGGGACCGCTGGCTGCCTTCACATTTCCTGGTGGAAGTGGAACAGGTCATCAGATGACCCAGTGTCATAGATAACTTTTGCCCACACATCACTCACTTTTGGGAGCACTGGTCTGAAATTGAGGGGGGTGTGTACGTGTGTGTGTGTGTGTGTGTGTGTGTGTGTGTGTGTGTGTGTGTAAAACTGACGTGCCTTCCGTGAGCCTCAGAAGTCTCTGCACTTTCTTTGAATGGTTGATTACAACACAGAGGATGTGGACAGTGGAGTTTTTCCTGTTTGATGTCACGCTGCTACCCTTTAAAAGTCTGAGGGGGGAAAGGAGGGAATCCAGCCTAGGATCCTCACTCTGCTATTTGCCAGAACGGAGAAGACAGGGCTAGGCCTGGGGAGTCAAGGAGGGAGTGTCAGGTTTCAAACTCAGCACTAGCCATTCAGAAAACAGCGATGTTGGGGACCCGCCTCAGGCTCCTGGTCTGGGCTCTGTGCGGTGTCTGCAGCATGCGCATCATCAGAGCCTATCCCAACACCTCTCCACTGTTGGCCTCCAACTGGGGCGGCCTGACTCACCTGTACACTGCCACGGCCAGGAACAGCTACCACCTGCAGATCCACAGGGACGGCCAAGTGGATGGCACACCCCATCAGACCATCTACAGTGAGTAGGGGCTTCAGGCTGGGAAGTTGGGAAATGGGGGAACTCTCCTTTGTCTACCTGCGGGGGAAAGCCTTGGGGTAGACCAGAGGGCTAACCCAGCCTGGTAACCTCTTTGCCTTGAACCCCTTAATGGTATCTGTAGGCTTTTTGTAAAACCTTAGGAGCGGGGGCAAGGTGGTATTGTGGCACATGCCTGGTGGCTCCAGAGGCTGAGACAGGAGGATCTTGAGTTCAAAGCCAGCCCCAGCAATTTAGCCAGGCCCTAAGCAACTCAGCAAGACCCTGTCTCCAAATAAAATATAAAAAAGGGTTGGGGATGTGGCTCAGAGGTTAAGTAAGCAAGCACCCCAGGGCTTAATCCTCGGTACCAAAGAAAGAAAGAAAGAAAGGTATGCCACCTCCCTAATTAGTATTTACTAATTTCTTTCAACACGAATAATTTAATAATTTGTCTTGACTAAAATACTCTTCCCATAATAGAAACCACTTGCACTTTGCCTTGTCCCAAGATTAAAAAAAAAAAAAATGTACAGAAAGACAGGCAAGGTATCTAAAAGGAAAAGAAGCCAGATAGATGATCAATAGACACTAAGTTTTAGCTCATGAACTTTGAGCAGGGCTAACTAGGGATGTTATGAAGATTCCTGTATCATTCCAAGGATTGAAATAGATGAACTCAGAGGTTCTTTGCAACTCTGAGCTTCTAGCATTCGGATTTTGTAAAATTATTAAGAAGAAATGTATTAAAGTCAGATTGCCCAGATACATTGTCTTGGTGAGTCTGACCAGGTATACAATCTATTTGTCCACTCATCTGTCCATCCATGCACCCATCCATCCAACAGGTTTATGAGGTGCTTCAGTGGTGCCCCATATAGGTTCTCAGTTCTGGTCAGTGGAGCTGAAAGGTGTCTAATCAGTAACAAATTGGGCTATCTGCAAACTCATTGACAACATGAGACAACCAGAATGTTTTTAAAGATTGGGTTTGATGAAAGTTGGATCACAGTCCACAATAGTCTGTCAAGTAGCTGTGATTCAAATGACCGTCCTTTGCTGTGTGCCTAGGTAAGAGACAAAGGAGTGAGAAGGGAGATGGGTATGAAGAAGGATGTTCTATTTTTGGAGAACATGTTAAAATTACTCTAAGAATTCAGAAAAATACAAGATGATCCAATGTAGTTCAAGCAGAAGAAATAAAAGAGCAATCAAATCTCTATTTCAACAATGGAGGTGTCTCATGCCTATGACCTTGGAAGGGCATGGGATTTGGGATTCAGATGTCCTCTAGGTTATTTACTACCTGTGTGGCCCTGAACCAGTTACATTGGAGAATGCACTCAACACTAGGTGCTTTAAAATGACTAAGAAGCAAAATGGACTGAATGGACTTCAGATTTCTGTGTGCACAAGCGCGCGCACGCGCACACACACACACACACACACAAATTGTGTCTAGGTTTGTTTTGTCTGACATACAAGCCATCCAAGTATTATTATTTTTTTTGGGGGGGGGGAGATGAACACACTAGCTTGGGGTGGGTGACTCAGAGTCAGGGCTACAGGAGAGGCACCTACTTTCCCTAATTGATATGTAAGCTTAGGTGATGTTCCATCAGTGATTAGGTGTATTTAAAAAAAAGATTAAGTTACCAAGAAAGGAAAGAAGAAACACTAATGCATGTAGATAAGTCTGGTAAAAGACTTTGGATGACATCATTGATAAACATAAAGCAGTGCTCTCCATACTGATGGAAAAGAATGTTATTTTCCCTTCCCAAATAATTACACATTTCCAGTGAAATCTGATTCCTTTTACTATTTTGTTTTAGCAGATCGCTGATTAAGGGTTGAGTGTTCAACCCCTCTTGGGGTCACTGATCTTAATAAAATGAAATCATCTATGAGATTCTACCAGAGCCCCTGGGGTTCAGTGAGCTGAAGTCAGGGGGCTTCCCCAGTACCTACACACTTGTTCCACTGTGAACAAGTCCACCCTCCTATTCTCCATTAACCTAACTCTGTAGAAACAACAGGAAATAGACACTTGTTACTATTAATTAATATCCCATTCTTTTTTTTTCTCCCTGAGGTGTGAGGATCTCATGTATACTAAGCAAGAGTTCAACCACTGAGCTGTATCCCCTGCCCACGTTTGGTTAATATCAATTCCTCGATCCTAATTTTTTTTGCTTCCTCCATTCTCCAATTCTTGTGTACTTGAAGCTGAACTACTCAGGGTCTTTAAGCCTTCTTCATAGTTTCTCTTTTGAGGAGCTCAAAACCCTTTACATTTACAATCTTATTTATCACATACTGGCTATGAACGTAGAAATAAGCAGATAATGTTCTACTTTTTAGCAGAAATTGAAATGAAACAGTAATAGTAACAATTACTTTCTAAATTGCATTTAGAAATCTCTTTAAATGGGTGAAAACTCATCTCATTACATCCTCATCAGGACTAGAGGTGGTTTAAACACCTCCATTGCAGACATGAAAAACAAAAGTTAAAGAATGTAACTGGTTCAGGGCCACACAGGTAGTAAATAACCTAGAGGACATCTGGATCCCAAATCCCATGCCCTTCCAAGGTCATAGGCATGAGACACCTCCATTGTTGAAATAATGTTCCTTAAGCCTGCCAGGTGCCAACGGGGAGAGCAGGTGACTTCCACGGCCAGAGTGCTTTTTTGCTTTTTTCTGCTGAAATTTCCCTTGGATGTGTGCAGACTGAGAAAACACGCCTCCTAAAAACACAAAGGGGAGAAAATCCATCTAAATTACATTTTCTAAATTTTCACACTGGCTTACATTGGTTTGATTCAAGAGCCTGTGTACCCTACCCCACTCCACCCCAACCCACAGTAGCTGCAGGTTGTTTTCTACTGGGACTGGCCCTGGACCAGGAGCATATGTCCAGCGCTGGCCCCAAGCATCTGACCAGCATGACAATCGCATGTGGGTTTGGCACAAACAGCAGGTCAGCTGCACCATGATGCCCAACACTGTCAAGGGCCTTGGCAACCATTAACCCATTCAATCCTTGTGATAACCTACAATGTAGGCAGGATGGCTGTACTTCTATTCATTTCACAGCTGAGGAAACCCAGGCTAAAGCAAAGTTATTGGAGCCCACAAGTTCTTAAGTGGTAGAATTGATACCAGAGTCCAAGTCTCTGGGCTCAGTACCTCTTCCCTGCACCTCAGGGGCACTGAAACTTGGTGTCTTTGGGGCCTACAGCATGTATTTTGCATTTGATTTTTGTCTTCTCATGCCTGTGATGAATCCTGCTTTATCAGTTAAGTTGGGATGCTTCTACTACTACTAAAATAATAATATTAACAGCAATGCAGCAGCTATTTTGAGAATTGAAAATATGTAAAACACTTTTGCAACCACTCCAAAATCATGACTAAGCGTAATTTTTTCTCGATAGGACTGAAAAGCCTTAGGATGGAAACTACCTCTTATATATTCCTTATGTTTTTCCTCAGAGTTTAACCACAAAATTGACCATACAATTGAGACACACAGACAGTCACCAATTTGGAGGAATTTAAATATCTTCTGTACCTCCCACACCTCACCACACTTTCCAGAAGCTTCCCTGGAGGCTAACCTTCAGTCAAATAAATTAACTGCTCTTCTTGGATCTCTTCTGTTCCCTTCCTTCTGGGTTTGCTTCCACCCTCCATCCCTGTGTCCCACATCATTCCAACTTCAGGCCACATCAGGCTCAGTCTAATCATTGCCCAGCCACTCCCCACAGAGGTCTTTGTATGGAGCCCTCACAGGGTAGGAGAGGAGCCCAGGACTTCAGGTCACCCCAAGGCTCCCCCAGAGGCTCCACCACTTGCTAGGCACAGATGATGGGCATTTACAACCTCTCCAGGGGGTGTCTGCAGAAAACAGATTCTAATTCCTGGCTGGGCAACCCCCCTTAACCACCACCATGGGGTGGGGGGGGCTGTCAAATGAAGTCAAATGAGATGCACACAGAAATCCCCTGGTAGGCAAAAGGAAAGATTGGGGCTTTTTGTTTGTTTGTTTGTTTTGACAGGAAATGTGAGACTCTCTAAACAAGCTAGATCCCTGAAAGACATCTTAGCATAGAAATAAAAAATAACAAAAGCAGAAAGCTTGGGAGGACATGTCCACTAGCACAGACATTAAGAGGTATTCGCCAGGCAAGGGGAGACATAAAGTTCAGGTGGAGAGAGAGAAATGTGTGTGGGGCACAGGAAAAAGAAAGTGGTGAGGGGCTGGGGCTGGGGCTCAGCGGTAGTGCACTTGCCGGGCGTATGAGAGGCACTGGGTTCGATTCTCAGCAGCACATATAAATACATGAACAAAATAAAGGTCCATCAACAGCTAAAAAAATATATATATATATATTAAAAAATAAAAAGAAGAAAGTGGTGAGCGCCATTGTTCCCCATATAGGTAAGAGGATGAAGTGGGAGGTGAATGATCAGGGAAAGGGGCCACAGGAAATGAGGGGCAACAAGCAGGAAGGGAGTTATGTGAAGTCTTTCCCACAAGAAGGTTTCCTGAGGTGGAAACCTGAGTCTGTGACCTGAATGATTTCCTCCACAGGTGCCCTGCTGATCAGGTCAGAGGATGCTGGCTTGGTGGTGATCTCAGGTGTGATGAGTAGGAGATTCCTCTGTATGGATTTCAGAGGCAACATTTTTGGATCAGTGAGTTTCTTTTTATGTTGGTCACCATTGGCAATTATTTCTTTGGCAGAGCATAGACTTTCTAGTTTAAAGGCTCTACTTGCGGTGTCCCTGGGTGATCTGTTTTCACTTAGTACTTTATCCAGACTAAGTATCAAATGTGCAGCTGTATGGGGTGGGGGTTACAGCCTGGTTCCGCGGCCCAGGCTTCCTCCAGTCTGTTCTGCCGACTGTTTCCTACTTTTGCATCTAGTGTGGCCCCCTGAATGTATTTGTAGGTTCTTAAGTTGTGTAAATTCATGCTGCAACATAGTTTAGAAAACACTGAAAGGGGACTGGGGATGTGGCTCAAGCGCTAGCCTGGCATGCGTGTGGCCCAGGTTCGATCCTTAGCACCACATACAAATAAAGATGTTGTGTCCACCGAGAAGTAAAAAATAAATATTAAAAAAAAAGAAAGAAAGAAAACATTGAAAGGCCAGTGGTGTCTTCTGGAATCTGTTATCAACTGTGACCTTGGGCAAGTCCTCTCACTTCTCCAGTCCTTCCCTTGGAAAAAATGAAGTGGAATGGACCACATGATCTGGGATGCTCCCTCCCATTGAAGATCTCTTAATTAACTACCTGTGCCCTAGTGGGGATCTCTGGTCCTTAAGACTGGTAAGCACACAAGTAAAGCTTGCTGTGTAGTCCAGAGGATTTTGAGATGGTCAAAGAGAAGGATTGTTTACCCTAGGATTCTGTTACCAACCAACATACCCACTAGGAATTTCTTGAGAGTGAGGACTTTATTTTGTTCACTGCTGTGTCCCAGGACCAACATCTATCTGGTCAGAGTGGATAAACACCGGCTGAGCCCATACAGGCATATAGATCATCCTCATCTGTACAAATACTTTGTGGGGTCTGAGGATTAAGTGGAATAGTATATAAAGGCCCTCATAGGAACTCAATAAAACCTAGTACTAGTAGTAGAATGAGGATTTAAACCCAATTCATATGTTAGCAAGTTCATGTCCCTGATCCCCCAAGGACATTCTCTCTCCATTGCCAGTATCTTCATTCATGTTTGACCCAACACTACATCCCATCTCCTCCTTTCTCCAGGCAAGGAGACAAACACAAGCCAACTTTCAGCCAGAACAGCTCTAAAAGGTAGAAACTTTGAGGGGGAGGGGGATTGTTAGCCCTCCCTCCAGAAACTAGGCACAAGGAGTGTCCCCATTCCTCTCTGGGCCCAGCCCTAGCAAGCCAAGTGCCAGGCCTGCCCAGGTCTCAGGCACTGAGTTGTAAAGACCCAGAGCACAGGTCTTCTAGTCTAAAGACTGGAACCATATTCAGTGCTTGCACAGCTTGGAGTGCCTTAGTGGAAATCCGTTGTTTCCAAGAAAAGAGCCAAGGGAAAGCTGAACAGGTAAAACGCTCCCAAGCTTCGGGCAGGGTACACAGCGCCTGAGCATGTGGGGGGCAGGGTACACGGGCGCTGAGCCCTTGGGGGGCAGGGTACAGGGTGCCTGAGCCCTTGGGGGGCAGGGTACACGGGCGCCTGAGCCCAGCCAGCCGTCACCCACTGCCCTCTCGCCCCTCCAGCATCACTTCAACCCGGACAGCTGCAGGTTCAGGCACCAGACGCTGGAGAACGGCTATGACATCTACCACTCCCCCCAGCACCACTTCCTGGTCAGCTTGGGCCGGGCCAAGAGGGCCTTCCTGCCAGGCATGAACCCGCCGCCCTACTCCCAGTTCCTGTCCCGGAGGAACCTCGTCCCGCTGATCCACTTCAACACCCCGACGCCGCGCCGGCGGCACACCCGGAGCGCAGAGGACGACTCAGAGAGGGACCCGCTGAACGTGCTCAAGCCCCGGCCCCGCATGACCCCGGCGCCGGCCTCCTGCTCCCAGGAGCTCCCGAGTGCCGAGGACAACAGCGTGGTGGCCAGCGACCCCCTGGGCGTGCTCCGAGGCAGCAGGGTCAACACGCACGCAGGGGGCGTGGGCGTGGAAAGGTGCCACCCGTTCCCCAAGTTCATCTAGGGAAACCCGAAAGATCCTCCTTAACCCACCTTTCTGCCCACTCAGCTTTCTCTAAAGGACCCAGCCCCCTTCACACTCCAAGGTCAAGGTGGAGGGGATGCGTGCAATCCCTGCTTCCCTCCATTCCCTTTCCCTCGGGTCCCCTGAGAATCAGCCTTTGCCACCTGAGTACTGGGGTTTCATTTCCCCCACCCTACACCCCCGCTTCTTGGTATAAGAAACCCCAACAGGTAAATGTCCCATTTAAGGGAAGAAAGGGGATTCCAACCACCCCCACTTCCCTTCCCTATGCCTCTTCTCTACATCAGTCTAGCATTTAGAAGAAGCAGTGGTAGCAGGTTGGGTTTTCATACTTGCATGGTGTGGGGAAGGGGCCATCTAGCAGCTTCTCCAGCGCTCTGTGTTACCTATCTGGATCCTACTGGCATTTGAGTTTGCACACCTTGACATTAAGAGCTGAACCAGGCGAGTTGATGAGAACACTAATTTCAAGTTTTGGTTCTGCCTGGAGTATCTCTGGGGAAAGGCTATCAAAGGAGACTGAGGCGGGCTGGTCAAAAGCACATGGAGAATGCTCCTGGAACTGAAGCAGAAATCTCCACTCCTTTGCAGAGTGGCTGCGCTCTGCCTCCCTCTCTCCTTTTACACAACTAGAGCCAGAGGACCAAGAGTGATTCTGCATTAGTTCCCAAGTGCCTGATAATTTAGCCTCACTCCTTGGCCCCATTTTTGACTTTAATGAATTAGGCCGAAAGAATAAGTTTAGTTTTTGGTTCCTGGAAATCTACCCCCACCTGCCAGGATTTTGCAAAAGGGAAACACAGTCACTCTCTCCTAAGAGGCATTTAATTATGTCTCTACTTGCAGGTTGAGTAGTAATACCTTTGACATGAATTTCAAAAACGTGTCTGGGGAACACTGCAACTGCTCTGGGTTGGACTTTCCATGGACTAAAAAAAAAAAAAATGCAATTTTTTTGTAAGTGAAGTGGAATCAAGGACTCGGGGCAAGAAGTCTAATAACCAGGTTATAGAAGAGGCAGAGGTGGCTACAGGATTAGTTACAGCACTCCTGGGCTGATGGCAGGCTCTCCATCCACTTGGAAGTTCCTGGGGCATTATGTTAAGAGACCTTTTAGTCCCAGGAGCCCCAGTGCTGTGCTGAGGAAAAATCAGCCAGACTTTGAGAAAGCTGAGGTGTGCCGGATGGCAACTAACGCTCAGCCCTCATCTTAGTCTTTCCCAGTGACTTAGACTCTACCTGCACGGTCCCTTTTTTTCTATCTCTATTTAAAAATGACCACCTAAAGTGCATAATATTAACAAACTAGATTCCAACTTCTTCCCACTTTTATTTTTCCTGCCACCTTCATGTACCCAGACGTAGAGATTGATCCATTCTTTTTCCTGATCAGAGAAACACTGGACGACGACTTTGACCTGATGATTTTGAAGGACTAGTTCCTATACTCAGACTGCATAGAGCAGCATATACAGTGGGGCGTGGTGAATAATTTCTTTCATGGTTTTCATTTCATTTCCTGGGGACATTGTCTTGTACAGTAGCTATAGATGCTCTCCCCTTCCTGATAATTAGATGGGAAATCCCAAAAGGACTTTGGTAGAAAACTGATTGTAATCTCAGAAACCCAGGACCGCCAATGGGGGGTCTTCTTTTTGGCAGAGCCAAGGTCGCCCCTGCAGTTCCTTGTGTCCCTTAGCATCTGGCCATATTTATTTATTTATTTGGAAGATTTTGCCTATCACTCTGTATTTATAGATATTTATAAAAATGCAATCCCACCTTTTCCTTCCTTCCATTTAAAAGAAAAATAAAATTTCTCTCAGCTTCTGTTACTTTTCTCTGCATTACTACATAAAAGCATGTTGGGATGTGAGAATTAAAGGATTTATGGGAGGGGAGCATTCAGAAAATCTGGAGTAAGGACAATTGAAAAGGTTATCAGAATTTTTAAATATTCAAAGTTTTTTTTTTCCCATTCAAAGCACACTTAATTTTGATTCATCTTAATCATTGAAAACAATAAAATTTTATCAATACTGGATTTCAGAGCACTATAGCCCTAAAGTAGCCCCTTAAAGGAGAGAGAATTTCTAATTTGAAAATGTACACTGACACAACCACATCAATACCTCAGTAAACCAGGTGTTTTGCTGTGTTATTCAGCTTTCCACCACTATGACAAATCCTGAGATAGATAAAAGATTTAATGTGAGTCATAGTTTGGGAGGTTCCAGTCCATGATCCAGAGGACACCTTGCTTTTAGCTCTTTGGTTGGGGGATAGCAAATCAGGGCATGATGCAAAGGCACTCACCTCATGGCCAGGAAGCAAGAGAGGAAGAGGCATCCCTTCAAAGCCCCCCTCCCAATGACCTATGACCTCCCACTATGCCCCACTTCTGAAATGTTCCACCACCTCCCCAAGAGTACCACAGGCTTGGGACTGAGCCTTCAACACATGGGGCTTTGGGGACATGCAAGATCCAAACTATACCAAATGCACTTAACACAGTGTTACAGTCCTGTGAGGTGTGATAGCAGCCAGCAAGGTAGTCTACCTTCGCTTTCTGTAGTTAGTGTTCTCAACATTCCTTCTTTAACCTCCATCCAGCTCTAAAAACCAGGAAGCAAAGATGCTTATTACACATCTGAATCTCTCCATTCAAGTTCACATGGGCTCAAGCCTAGTTGTTACCTAACTTTAGCCTGCTTCTCGCTTTTAATAAGGACTGTGGAAGAACTCAGCATAGGGGCCACCATTTTGATTGGCATTCAAATGACTTCTGACAAAGTCTACACAGGGAATTTTGTTCTGATTATGTCCCTTTTAAGAGTCTGGGTGCCAGAGTCTTCCATATTACAGAGTAGAGCAAGGGAGAGTCACTAGATAGATATAGGAGCATAGGGAACAGGCTTTATTTCTTTAATCACACAAAACAGACTTATCAAAGGCAGGTTATTACTGTTTCAAAAGCACTTTTTCCCCCCCAGACGTTTTATAAAAATGGATGATTTGGCCTCAGCTTGTAGGTTTTACCCCTCCATGATATTTCAGAAATAAGAGGGATGGGTCAGGTATTTCTTAACTTTGCTCCTGGATCATGCCACCTGAACACCTACAAAAGTAGGTAGAGCAGCATCAAAACAATCCTTTGGGAATAATCAGACTTTCACTCCCTTATAGAAAGAGAGTTAAACCTTGAAGAAGAGAAAAAAAACAGACTGAATATTTCCCTACAAGAGTTCCTTTCTTTTCCCATAAATTTCTCCCTTGCATAAGGAAAAGAACAGCTGAAGTTTAACTGAAAACAATTGGTAGGGTGAAGACAGGAGAGACTAAGGGGAAGAAAAAAATGAATATATCCTGTGTGTGTGTGTGTGTGTGTGTGTGT